TGTGTGTGTGTGTGTGTGTGTGTATGTGTTTGCATCCCATCCACAGGTTCCCTGTGTGTACGTGTGTGTTCGTGTATGTTCGTGTATGTGTGTATGTGTGTGAATATGTGTGTATGTGTATGTGTGTGTATGTCTGTATGTATGTGTGCGCGTGTGTGAAGGAGCTTGTTTATGCGAGCGTTACAGGTAGATGTGTACACACAGATAGACACATTAGCCTTCAGACCCACGCCAGACTAATACTGAAGCACTTTACACATGGCACCCACATGCTGACTCACAACAGTAACCTCCTTAGTTACCCTGTAGGATAGAGAGTTGAATGTGAACGCCATTACAGCTATTATTTGCTACTCTACGGAAACTTGTGTAGCATTTTCAGGTTTGTTGCCTGCTGCCATGATAATTACTCAAGGTGGTTAATTGTAACCCCCCTCCCCCCCCCTCAAATATACTATAAGCGAATCAGAGGACGATATTTTCCCAGCAGGACAAGTTGAATTAGGGAGGGCAGATAAAGGGAAACGCGTTGCCAGTCACAAAATCGTTTACAAGCTTCTAAAAGACTTGTGTTATTGTTATCGGCACAGCCCGTATTTATTTCCAGGGCTTTCGTTTCTTTGTGAACGCCTTTTGGTTTCTGTGTTCTGACTTCTGAATGTAGGGTAAACGCTATCAATTGTCTCTCTACAAATTACTTTTTGTTTTGCTATAACCCGAAAATAGGTGGTTGTTTGGCGGGCGCTCTAATGTGGTTTGCTCTTTCTTTCCTATTAAACATCTATCCTCCTTATGTCTCTTCCTTTTCTTAGTATTTTATTCTCTAGTAATACATCTGTTTTTCGGCACTTGTATGTCCTATTTGTGTTGCAAATATTGTAAAATGCTTGCTAAAACTAAAACTAAAGAGGAAATAACTTTTACTTGGCTAGGCAGATAGGGGCTACCCCCCGGGGGCAGTGCCACTGACTGAAGTGTCTTTAAGCCATTCCCAAAGGGGGGACATTTCTCGTTCTAGTGCAATTTTAAATGGGCTGATATAACAATGTCATGCTCATAACAGTGCCTGAACTACAACAGGGAACTGCTGATTTTTCTTTCCTAATCCTTACTATCGTCATTTTCCTCTACTTCTTTTGTATGTTTGTCACACTCTTGTGATCTGCTATTTCCGGGATGCCTTGATAGTCGAAGCAGACGTTGAGCCGCTGAAGCTAGAGAGGTGAGCAGAGTAAGTCTGATTCCCTGTAAGGACTTCTTTGCTGACATCCGCCCCATGGCGCTCATATGACCGTATGCAGTTGCGAGTGCCGTAAAACCTCAACTAAAAAAAGATAGGGGCTTTTAGTTACTGAAAAACAGAAGACATGCTATAACAATTTAAGTCATGAATAATATCGAAAACGGTCAGCCAAATTTATTTGCATAAAATGAATGCACTTAGATATTATTTATTTCTTATGAGGAGACGTTGTTGTTGTGGTATGGGGAAAGGGAGAGAGAGAGAGACAGACAGACAGACAGACAGACAGACAGACAGACAGACAGACAGACAGACAGACAGACAGACAGACAGACAGACAGACAGACA